AATTTCCAGATTCTGTTTTACAGCAAAAAACCAAACGATGAATCTCAAGTATTTCTTTTACACAATTAGAATTTTGTCGTGACATTATGTGTTGTTATTTTCTGTTCTACACTTTTCTTGATATGACAACTGGCGTTGTAACATTACTATATGAAGCATCTTCACATATAAAAGAACATGTTTATTTAATTACAACTCTCGACTGTTGAATTTAATGTCAACTAGATGTAACTCTGCGTTTTAAGAATATTATTGAATTACTGAAGATGGCCAGATTGTGGCCGAAACGTTTAATGTTTTAATTAATGTAATAATAATTAAATATCACAAACTATAACTTGTGCTGTGGTTTTTTATGCTCTTATTTTTTATATGTTTTGATATTAGAACCACGTTAGTTTTCAAGGTATATTATAAAAAAATAACTATTACGTTTAAAATTGAAATAATGAAGAATACAGAATCGAGATAAAAAGGGACGGTCTCGTCTGGCGTAACGTATGTGACTAAATAACGATTTATTTGCAACTAAAACCTAAAGTTCTTGTTTTCTCAACAGAAAGAGAAAGAGGAGAACGGAGAGAAAGAGAGGGAGACGAGAGGGACAACAACCACGCGCGCACGTGTGTCGCAATGTCCCTTAACGACTGACGGCTGCTGGAGAACCGGTCGACCTCGATACACCTCCAGGCCCGGTTCTCCTGTACATATTACTCTGAGTAATATACGTATTCCCGATACACATACATTGCGCGCGAGCTGGGATTTTGCACAATCGCCGATGCCGCCGTCGACACCGCCGTCGCTCACGAAGTTAAAACTATACCGTGGAAAATCGGTTTTACCGTGACTCGTTTAAATAACGGATCACACGTTTTTGCGCGACACAAACCTCTCCGCAATGCCACGCTATTGTAACGTCGCGCGGTCTATTCTATTCCATGGTGCGTCCATGGGTGTATTTAACTCGTAACAGCGAACTCGGAAGGTCGCATAAGAAAATGTTTGGACTTGCCTGTCTTTTTCCCACATCTCGAATATATACGAGCCTTCTCAATTCGTAGATAAGTTCGTTAAAAAAAAAAATATGTAATCTTCTTTTAAGTACAAATTGTAATGTGCAGCTGTAAGAATTTTAAACTCCGAAAAAAAATTCCTTTTACGAAGTTGGAAATTTCGCGCATGAACGGATTAACGAAATTTCTCGATCTACTACTTAATGAAATCATTCCAATGAATGTTTGAGAATAACTTGGTTTAAAGTGCATGACTCTCACTTTATCAAATTAAATATTTTGATGATAAGTTACTGAAATAATCTATGTTTTATTTGCAACACAGATAAATATTATGTCTATACTTGAAATTTGTAATTGCAATTTATTTAATATTTCTCAACTTCACGTAGCGAGTCTTTTCTATTTATTGTTCTGAGAACAATTTCTAACTGTCGTTCCCCGGCTGATATACCTACACACTCGGAGTTCATAACTTGACCGCGATATATCTTCGATATTTACGCTTTTATTATCAAACGCTGTACCATAATGTTTTATGCGAACCTTACACTAAGATGCTTATTGAACAAAATAACTTTTCATCAAATAACAAAAACAACAACTTATGAAAAATGAATTTTACTTGAAGTCTCAAAAATAAATTAAATTGAATAATAAACTTTGAATTGCCATGACAAGTTTAATTGCTAGCAATATTGTAAAACACTAAGCTAATCAATAAAATCAGTTTATAATTGTAAAAACAATGACAGAATACACGAAAAACAAAGAAAACACAAAAGCGCGATTTTGTGAAAATCAATAGAGATTTCGAAAATCATGGTATTCTGTCAAACCTCACAAATGTACAAAGTATCAACTATAATTAAATGTACTAAGTGTCTACTATAAAATTTTAAGCACATTTGATTCACTTTGAATGAAGTTATGCTCCGAAAACCTAAAAATAACACATTTTTGACCGGTATAGTCAGCTAATAACTATATATTACATTCATTCATCAAACATTAGGTTTTAATATTTTTTCTAGACATAAAATTATTAAAAATGAATGTTTCATACAATCTGTAAGTTAAGAGTCTATAATTTAGGACCCAACTAGAAAAAGACTTTATTCGGCTGATGACACTAAATTTATCAAACGTTAGATTAATAATATTTTTTCCAGATATGGACTACTTATTAGGAGATTTTTCAATTTGGAACATTTAAGTAGCTCTTCTTCAACCGTTCTCTTTAACCGTATTTTTACACTTTTATACGCATTCACATTGTAACACATTGTAAATGCACACGGCGACATAATAGCATACGTCGATACGTTCGACGGATCAATTTACCTGTTCCGAGAGTTTCACAACAAGGCTTATCACGTCGTTGCCAAAGCGAACGAGCGCATGTGAGTACTACCAACAAATCCGATGGCCATTAGCCTCTACCATTAAAATCTTGTTTAGTTGCGTCAGAGTTCGAGTATATTTATCGCGCGATTGCACGGTGACATTTGCCCGCCACTTCTAATTACCCGATACGCGTTTTTCTCTCTCTCTCTCTCTCTCTCTCTCTTCCTCCTCTCCCCCAGATTTCACACGTAGATTCGGAGAATCGCTCTGAGTAATTAGTTTCTTTACCGTTTATTAAGTAATATTTCGTAATTTCTACGAAACTGGTTGTAATAAACTGTTTGTTTTGTTATTAGTTACGGCATAGATAAAATCAGACACACGGTTTAGTGCTGCTTGCATAATAATACTCAAAACACGATAAAAATACGAACAGGTTACACGCGAGTCTACTTCGTAAAAATAAAATTCAAATTATATTTAGTAACTTCCTATCCTCTTTTTTTAACTTTTTAGAATTATATAAATAAATGATCAGATATGTAAATAATGTACAAAACTTCTCACAGTTTCTTTACCTAATTTCTCTCTAATTAAATAAAATACCAGATTAATGAGAGAGAGATAGCTAAAAGTATAAATTCTAGTTAAAAATATAAATTTGCAAAAGCAGAATTTTTGTATACGTGAAGTTAACCTCGACAAGTATCTCGAGTGAAAAATATGTAAGAAACATGCAATTGAATTTTTATTAAGGAAACGCGTCCATCAGATTGGTCGTATATATATATATGAAAGGAAATATGAGGAAATCTCTTACACTCTGTATCAAATATAAATCTACAATTTTAATTTAACACAACCTGCTGTACGAGAATTAAGCGCGGCATGCGTAACGTGCGATTTTTCGCGATTGCGGTCGCTCGCGCCGGATTTAACTCGAGCACAGTTCCACAATAATCGCAGCGGGGAAGTGAACACCAACGGAGCACGCTCGACGATTTAACCAAATGATTCAACCCCCAATTGCCTTCTCGAGCGTGTCGTGGCCGATAATATCAGATCGGTCGGTCCTCTCTATGACGTATAAGCCGCAACGGAGAGCCCGACCGATTAGCAAAGAACGGCGACGACGGTAATGTTACGCCGTAAGGTACTCCGGTTGGCGGTTCGTGAAAGTAACGGGCCACGCATTTATATTTTTCAATGCAACTGCACTCGCAAGTACGCACACGCTCGAGTCGAGTTTATGATTTTGCTTAATTAATGGTCTCCTCGTCGGTTACCACCCTCCGCTCTCTGTACCCTCCCCCCCTCCTCCTCCCCCACCTGTTCCCGGCCATTCGCTGCTACCAGCGGCAGCGGCAGCCCGGCGGCCATTAACCCGCATGGATTGCGCAATTTCGGGAAATTGCGAAGTAATTCGCGGTTGCGGCCACTCTCGACGCAGAGACGGCGACGACGCGCTGGCGAGGCGACGCGACTGGTTAAGCGACACAGAAAACAACTAGTGGATTCTACGAAAGGACGGTCGTTGCTGGTTCCCGATAACGATGTCCGTCCGCCGCAACCAATCCGACGAAGGAGCAAAAAAAAAGAGGGATATGGAACGATTATATTTGGAAGAATCGCGCGCGGTTAAAGTGACCAGCAAATTCTGCGAATTATACGTGTCAATTTGGGTGGATTTTACGTAACGGAAATCGAGTATCGGTTTGGTTTAACTTGATGACATTTTAAGAATTTTTGTATAACGAATTATGATGTAACAAGAGTTGTTGTCTATTTACTGTATTTACGTGTAATTTATAGAAATAAGGGAAATAATTATATTCAACTGTAACTCCAGTTTTCGTAAAGAATATTAAGAGGAAAAATGATAAATATAGCGAATTGGTATCCGAATAAAATCATCAATAAAATTATTTGATAATAGTTTCGATTCTTCTTAGAGTCATCCTCTTAAACGTACTATTATTAAATAAATTATATTTTGATTTCTAATTAACTAATCGTGTAGTATTTTATTTTACCATCAACTATCATATTATATTCACATTTGCGGTGTTTCTTCTTAATATTTAATATCGTAAGTACAACATTATAAATAATATAAATTCTGAAAGGATTTTTCTAAAGACAAATTATGAGTCTATTTTTTTCCTAAATTTTTGCAACTAAATATGCTTCGTTCTTTTATAAAAGCAAAATTGAAAATGAAGTTATATTATTACACAATATAATGATCATATAGTCAACTAGTTCAACTAATTTTAAGTTTAGCAAGAATTTTGAAGAAAAAAGAAATAACCATTATTGTAAGATATAGCTACGCAATATTAACGTGAGGCAGATATTTTTGTTTGGCAACAGTAATTCCAGATTGTTATTGCCGTTACCATGGCGATTTGTTCCACCCTTCACCGTTATAATTATATTACCACTACTCAGTCCCAATTGTATTCGTTATGCTATCGCCACCACCACATTTTGCCTATATTTTACGTCGAAGTAAGAAATCAGATGTAAAAGACAAGAAAGAGAGAAGAAAGATAATAACTTATTTCCAAAAAAAGATAGCCCATGTAAAGTGAGCCGTCTAAAGAGAAAAAATAAAAAAAGAAATGTCTACGATACCGATGCTATTCTGAGTACTGAGTTCCCAGTCTTTCATGAGGATTTCTCGGGCAGGTCAGGATGACGGCGACGTGGGTACACCTATAATGCAGACAGTGATCGTCACATATAGACTGGCGTAAATATCATGTTAGGCGATTGTCGAAAGTCGCTAAAATACAATACTATATCTAGCTAAAATAAAAAAAAGGAGGGAAAAAGTATTTAGTGCGTATTTTGAGTAAGTGATTTATCAACTATACATTTGTAAAACTTAGCTTAAAAAATAACATCGTTTGCATTTTGCAACTTGTAGTTAAATTTTTAAATAGACATAATAGATTTAAACTAGCTTTTAATATTATAAATAAATAGAGTAAAAGCTTCTATCGCTATTAACACCTAAACTTCTATACAATCTTGTATAATTGTGATTGATTTAAATTGAGTGGATAATTATTTTTTCACTAAAAAAACTTTTTTTATTATGTCGCTTAGTAATAAAACAATTATATTTATTATTACATCGCCTCGGCGGTCGAACTGAAGAAGTGCACGCTCCGAATAGTCGGGAGATCCAGATTCAAATTTTGATTTGATTCAAATTTCTGATATTTTTTGCAATATTTTAAAATACTCATATGTTAGCATTGTTATTTTTAAATTGACAATCAATTTAATTTGACAATATTATTCCAGTTTTTGTTTAAAAAAATTGCGCACCGGCTGTGCTCGGTGCTCAGTTTGAAAAACTAGAAAATGTATTTAATAATTTATACAGAAGTATTGTATTATTGTCACTAAAATCCAACCTCTATCGTATTTCGCTTTATTTATTTGTGTTGTTATTATTATTATTGTTTAAATGAAAAAGAGACAACAGAAAGAAGTTCAAGTTTTCTTTCGTTCGTCGAATAGATATGATTAACGATCGAAAATCCGCCGAAGCATAAGCGCAATAATTATATCCGCGTGTGAGTTTTTCTTTCGAAAAGACCGGACGTCCTAACTTTCACACGTGCAATGTTCTGTGGTGAAATCGGCGTGTTATAAGTTACGAGGTGAGCAACAGTCGCGACTCACCGTTCGCGGTTACGCTTACTAGCGTCTTCGGAAAGCGTGGAGAGATATGAGACAGCTCTGCCTCTGCACGCATGCACACATTATTACAAATGCGTGTGAGCCCACATCTCCTCGAATTACCCCGAAACGACACGCAGGGCGATGAACGTAATTTCGTTTAATTTCGTTTAATTTCGTTTAATTAATAAAATCGACCGTTCGTTTACGACATACATGCATGTTAAAATGAGATTTTATTGTACGTTGCAGGAAATAATGCTTCGCAAATTGTTTTATTTAAAAAAAAATATATATATTTTTTTAAATAAAATATATATGCGTGTGTGTGTGTGTGTGTGTGTGTGTGTGTATGTGTATGTATACATCTATATGGAAGTTAAAGACGAGCATAGATAAATGAATACATGAGAGTGTCATTATTTTAATTTAATAAATATTGAATTTAACTTACTGAAAAGAACAATGAATAAAAGTGATCGCAAATCCAGTATTTTATTGCTGAAGCAATATGAGAATAAATTTATAAAATTTAAAATTAATTCACAAATAATTAAAAAAACACCAAATAGAGTTGACGCTAAATTTTGATGTCTAATAATACTTCATGTAAATTTTAAATACATCTCCCAATTAAATCGCGCGTACTGTCGTACTTGAAACGCAATTGACGGTCAATTTAATTTGTGATATTATTTCAGTTTCAGTTTATGATTGCATTTCAAGTCTAACAGTAATCGGCACACAGAGAAATTATATAACTAGAAAATGTATTTAAAATTTAAATAGAGATATTATTTAGATATCAAGATCTAGTCGCAACCATATTTAGCGTTTCTTCACTTATTTGTATTATTTACATAACGGTCTAATTTAAACTAGAAAATTTTAAGAGTTTATAAGAATTGAGCAATATCTCTAAGACTCTTCAATGCAGTTTATATAGCAATGATATGGAATATTAGGAAGCTGTGTAGAAATAGTTAAAATAGAATAAATCAATGTTCAATCCTATAAATTAGACTGGCACAGAAAAGGATATTTACGTTCATCTCTAAATCTCTATCAAAAATAGATTAATAGTTTTCCAAAATTCCAAATTTTTGCTACTACTATTTATTAACGTATATAATAATAAAGATATGCACGGAGAAATAAAAAAATCAATCAATAAATATGATTAAAATTTATAAATACAATGAGTATTTATATTTCACATTTTTTATTCATATAATATCTAATAAATACTATGAAATTTAGTAAAAATTAATGTTATAAAAATAAAAAAAATCATTGTGTATATCATTCTGAGTATTAACATACAGAAAAGTATATATAAAATCTCAATGCTACCAAATATCGCAAACTTCTCTTTAACAAATCACATTTTATCTTTCAACTCGAAATAACTCAAATTTACGCTCCATTGGCCTCTACAGTTTCCTATTTTTCTTTTCGCAGCAGTCCAAAAAACAAGCGGTGCGGAATAATTCATCGCTTTGACGAATTTTTCGAAAAATATTCAGCATAGAAATAGTACACGAACACGTGAAATTGTTGCAATTTCAATTCCGTCCATTTGAACGGCATAACGAATAGTTGATTTTTTTCTGAAACACACCATCTCTGTGTGTACATGGTATCGGAAATATTCCTTTAAATCAGAGGCATTCCATGGATGTGTCAATTCTCGTTTATTTCGACGCATTTCTAGCTTTCCTCTGTTTACAAATGTCTAAAATATCAGCGTGAATCCATACATACAATACAATCATTTAGCAATAAATTGCATAAAGAAATGAACGCGTTATACATGGAGGTAAGTTTGCTAATTATTAACGGAGAAATTATTTCACATAATTATTACCGAGTATTAATTCCTGATTCTACGCAACTTAGCAATTATGACGGTAAACTAACGGAAAACGCGTTGAATGGTCGCGAACGGTTCCCAGACACACCAATGTGAATTCATTGTTAACGTATATCTCTCTGGACACGGCTCACCGCAACGGCGTCAAAGTAGTTTATTTGCGACGGGAAAGCTACTGCATGCGGAAGAACCAACAATGGCGAAAACCGGCCGAAACGGGTAGAAATATGTGAGAGGGAGAGAAAGAAAAAAAGTAACCGGGTCTCACCGCAAGAGCGCCGAAAAGTTTATTTGTTTCGTGCCTATCTACGGTGTAACTCGAGTTTCTTTTTTACATCCTCTGTAACACCGTTCTAAATCTCGCTGTCAGTAATTACACGCGAATATTTCCATAAAGGACGGCGTTGATTTGACGACAATTCGACAACGGCGATCGATTATTTGAAATACTGTTAACCAACTTTGTATATTCCAAAAAGGCTCATTAATTCTCGCATAAAGTGTTATTTAAAATCTACGCTTGGACTCAGCTTGCTTTATAATGTCGCAATTTTTATTCATTACATCATTCATTCGCAATGCCCCGTAACTTGAGGATTATTGACATCACGATAATTCCAATAACGAGTCTAATTTGAATTCATCGAGAGAAAAACAAAATGCGACATAGAATGAGATAACCTTTCCCGATTTCCGCGTTTCTATATTGTATATCTAATTCTTCTTAACAATATATGAGATTGTAGCCGGCGAAACATAATTCTTTCTTTTTAATCCGTTCTTGTTCCACAAGTGGAGTATTTTATGGTATGCGCCGCATCCCGTTTATATACACACACACACACACACACACACATATATATATATGTGTATTTTTTTAAACTACTGCTGAAAAATCTACACAACGAGACGAGTTCTCCGCGTATAAAGCTGGATCCTCGCGAAAGAATGCGAGGTCCCAAGGAACGCTCCTCCTTTCTATGCGGAAAGGAATCTCGAGGGTGAAGCGCGCCCGAGGCATCATCCGACATCGAGCACGACGCCATCAGGAAGCTAAGTACATGTGCATATTCGTGCATACGTGCACGCATGCACGCATGCACGCATGGTTCCTTAAACCGTATAATCCCGGGAATGTATTGGGTCAACAAAGAAGAGCTGCAGGGAGAGATCGAGTGCTCGTGTAAACTATCGCGTGAACAGAGCGTTTTGGAGCCGTTTACAATGTTTGTACAATGTGTGCTTATTATCCATAGAACTGAGTGAAAGAGGCCAATAAGGTTAACGAGATATTATGTCGTAACATCGTGAGTCTCACGTTGACTTTTCAGCGTTAAATATTGTAAAGGTATCCAAACGGTGATATTTCGTTCACTCGCTTTACTCTGTAATGATATTTTTCAGTTTCCTGTCGTATCTCAAGTAGATGGAACTTTTAGTTACTGGCGGAAGTTGATATATAAAATGAACTACTTAACAATTCCGATATGACGTGGATATATCAAACGCGAAGTATCGCTTAATATTAAACTCATCGACTTTGTTTGCCAAAATAGATATCTAATGCATAATTTCAAAATGTCGTAAATCAATCCAAATTAGCATTTTGATGTGTTTTAAGAATATGAATATTTTATCGACGGATAATACATTCATAATTACATATATTATAAAAAAACATAAAGGAACAAGTTGCTAAACAAGGTGAAAAATCTATAAAAGCACTTAGCGTTTTTATTTATATATGGCGAATAATATTGTTGTTATTAAATTTACGCGTCGATTTAAACTGAAATTGCAGAGAGTGAACAACCACCAGCGGCAGAAATCTCGCGTTCGCCATTAGCGAGCTATACGTTTACACACTTGTATTCGACTTGTATAACGGATCGCGATGCAGGTATTCATTACACACTACACTCACTATCTTAGGTATACCTTCACGTGAACTACCGAGGCAGGAGTCAAGAAACGTTCCGTGACTTGAACACGACCTCCATTAGCCTTTCTCGATCAGACCGCTAATTAGTTGGCATCGGCAAGTGAGTTGCAGCCTCCGCGCATTCGCGCTTCCTCTCTCCGCGTGTCTCTTTAGCCTCCGACATTCCTCGCAAATATTAAAATTTCTGCACGTAGAGTCGCGTATCAT